TTCACCCGTCGTGTTTCCTAGTCACATTTTATATGTTGCAGGACACTCACAACACTAGCTTTTTAACTTTGCTTGCAACACACATTTACACAAAACGTGTGTATTACATTCGCTCGCCCGCATGTTTGCGTTGCATCATGGAAGAATAGAGAAGTCAAAGTAACCTACCATGCAGGTCGACACAGCCAACTTAGGTGGGCTGAAACTGACCAATATTGTCTTCATCTGACGGGTTATGCTGATGACGTCACCATACCTGGCTAACGATACGTTACGGGCTTGAACCGACCATCTCCTCCTTTATATAACTGTAGCTGTAAGATGCAATCAAATCATGAATTACGATGAGTTAAATGGTTCACTGTGAGAAGACATGAATAAGCAGTAGTAGTAGCAGCAGCAGCAGCAGTAGTAGTAGTAGCAGTAGTAGTAGTAGTAGTAGTAGTCGTAGTAGTAGTAGTAGTAGTAGTAGTAGTAGTAGTAGTAGTAGTAGTAGTAGTAGTTGTAGTAGTAGCAGTAGTAGTAATAGTCGTAGTAATAGTAGCAGCAGCAGAAGCATTAGTATTAGTTGTAGTAGTGGTGGTTAGTGGTGGTGCATGTAGTAGTGGTAGTTGTTGTTGTACCAGTAGTATAGTAGTAGCTGCAGCAGCAGCTTCCACGGCAGTAGTACTAGAGGTTACTGTAGTGGGTCCTTTCTGCAAAGAAGGAGAAGGAAGAAGAAGAAATACAAGACGATAAGGAAAGTAGTTGCTGTTGTAACCATTACGATGATTACTTCCGCTACAACTTTAAAACGTCGTCACTCCTCCTAAAACCATAAACGGACATGTTTAGTGTATAAACATCCAGCATGAGAACAAAAACAACCATTTACATAAATAAGCAAACTGATCTACTAAAGAAATCGGTTGTCAGCGTACTTCTGGATGCATGCCTACAGAAATCGGGTGGCCGGTAAAGCATGACCTACTTTAGATGTTGAAGGAGTAAGGGGTGGATGAGATGGGAAGGGGGTGAAAGACGAAGCGCTGATGCAGTATTACGTGTTCCGACAACATATGTCAGAAGTATACAATGACACGAATGTTATAGATTCTACAATATTAACTAGTGCAGACACAGAGTAAATCTTACATGTCAGTTAGTTAGTTAGTTAGTTAGTTAGTTAGTTAGTTAGTTAGTTAGTTAGTTAGTTAGTTAGTTAGTTAGTTAGTTAGTTAGTTAGTTAGTTAGTTAGGTAGTTAGTTAGTTAGTTAGTTAGTTAGTTAGTTAGTTAGTTAGTTAGTTAGTTAGTTAGTTAGTTAGTTAGTTAGTTAGTTAGTTAGTTAGTTAGTTAGTTAGTTAGTTAGTTAGTTAGTTAGTTAGTTAGCTAGTTAGTTAGTTAGTTAGGTAGGTAGGTAGGTAGTTAGGTAGGTAGGTAGGTAGGTAGGTAGGTAGGTAGGTAGGTAGGTAGTTAGTTAGTTAGTTAGTTAGTTAGGTAGTTAGGTAGTTAGTTAGTTAGGTAGGTAGGTAGGTAGGTAGGTAGGTAGGTAGGTAGGTAGGTAGGTAGGTAGTTAGTTAGTTAGTTAGTTTGTTTGTTTGTTTGTTTGTTAGTTAGTTAGTTAGTTAGTTAGTTAGTTAGTTAGTTAGTTAGTTAGTTAGTTAGTTAGTTAGTTAGTTAGTTAGTTAGTTAGTTAGTTAGTTAGTTAGTTAGTTAGTTAGTTAGTTAGTTAGTTAGTTAGTTAGTTAGTTAGTTAGTTAGTTAGTTAGTTAGTTAGTTAGTTTGTAGTTAGTTAATCGACAAATTATCCTCACTGCATATCTAACGAGTCCATCAGCGCTCGTATTCCATCTTCAGTATGTCCCCCAGCGTGTGGCGACTGATAACAGCGGTTCTGGGTTGGTTTACTATTCTTCTTTGGCTACCTATATATTATTCATGTTTGTTTACACCTTTTGTGACCTGGAGCTCTTGTAGTCTTTTGAGCGTTGCCGATTCAACTTCGTCTCCTGAATCATCTTCTCGTCCTGCCTCCTTGACAGCACTGAGAATGTCGGCCCGGTCCATTGCTTTTCCTCTAGCTACCTTACATGTGAATCACTGTACCCTATAGTCATAAGCCGAGAATGGTTACTGCCGAGAAGAAAAGCAATGCAAAAATATCTTCGTCAAGATGCCAAGAATAGTGATTTCGCATAAAAAATATGAGTTAAAAGACCTGTTTTGTTACATGAATGTGAGACATGGATTATAAATGATAGAAAACAAACGAGGTTGTCTTTCTCGACATCTGAAAATCGTAAATTTTTTAGAAAGTTTAAATCCGGACATTCAGCTCTTTTCAGATATGTTAAGAGAAGAAATGAACTTGATAACTTGGTAACGACTGGCAAGAATGATAGAAAGCGAGCCAGGGAATAAATACTGGTACAGATTAGCCATATGGATAAGACGAGACAAGAACACTGATTCTCTCAATGATTCTGGTGATCGTGTGAGAAGGCGAAACATGGCAACATACATTTAACAGCGTGGCACATGTTGATAATACTTACTTAGTCGTTCCTCTTCTACCTTGGGGTGTAGAGGTTTGCCAGAGAGATCGCCAGACGTCTCTATCAGCAGTTTTCTTTCTGGCTTCGTTTCATTCTAGTCCCCTGTCAGTCAGGGACTGTCGGACGTTGTCTTCCCAGTTAACCCTGGGTCGCCCTGGAGGTCTGGTTCCTTGGTTCTTAGCCTCCCATGGTAAACGATGTTCTCCCATTCTGCATACATGTCCAAACCATCTAACTCATGTTGATGATGCCAGTACAAAACATTACTGATACTGCACAAAAAGTCGACGAATATTAATAAAATTAGTGGCAAATAAATTATGAGCGGCTGGCGAAGTGGTTAAAACATCGTACTCTCATGCGGGAGGCCTGAGTTCGACCCCGGTAAGGTGATGGAGTTTTTCTGACAGGGGCAAAATTAGGCATACTAACCATTACTGTCCGTGGGTACAGTACTTAAATCCTCAGGCTTACGACCCCCTGCCTACACAGCCCCCAGTTTAGTAGAAACAAATATAGATAATGCACTTGTGAATGTACTATAGGCATGAAGCTATTTGTGAATACCCACACTATGAGCAATTTAGTTTGGAATAAATATCCCAGTTTGTAAAGGTTGGACGGGAGGTCCATGACCTGTTTTTGTTGACCGGCATCCAAAAAGTGGTTCTTAGGCATTAATGGTGTCAAGCTGATATACATCCCTAGTTTGCTGACGGTTGCAGGTAGGCACAAGGTGCTGCAGGCGAAGTCATATCTCAGGGTAGCTGCAGACACAGACCACCCTCTGCATGAAGCTCTGGGTGCAGTTAAGAGTCAGCGGTTGAAAAGAGGGAGGTCATGGATGGCTCAGGCAGAAGACACAGTCGGACAGGTTTGCATCCTTTAGAACATTAGGCGAGGAGAGGAGTGGGTCAAAGTGCCACCTGAGCAGTCAGACTTGTGTAGGGTCATAATCACGCTGAGCCGGGAATGCAGAGACTGGTCAGCAGGTGCCACAGAGGTGGAAATTCAGCAATTAATTCAAGATTTTTTTTTTTTTTGTCATTGGATGCTCTTTATTGTTTAAGTTTCTGGTGAAGTATAGTTGGCAGTTGAATTCAGAAAAAGAGAAAACAAAGTTTGATGGACACGCTTGGTTGCGTGTATTAGAATAAAACTATGTACACATACTGCAATATTCACTTTTTTAAAAAAAATCCTGTGCCACCAGTGACATCATTTGCTTTCTACTTGACCCTTTCATGATATTAATTTTAAAAAGATAATGCTCGCTCAGAGGACTTGATTATTTACACAGACGGTTCAGTATCAAGAGGGGCTTGGGGCTTATGGCTTCTTAGCAAAAGTTAATGGTCGACGTTTGGTGCAGGAGAGCTTACCATATGATACCACAACATCAAGTTTAAGAATGGAGGTGAAGGTGGTTACTGCAGCTTTCCGCTGGCTAGAGAACACGACACAGACACATCGTGTTTGTAACTGATTCAGAAAGCATGCTGAGGAAGATCAGAACAGGTATGTTTCGTGCAGAGTGGCATGCTTCGCTGCGGAGGACACGGGTAAGGAGTATTGTCTGGATTTTTTCACCGAAGTCTGCAGGTGTGTTGGGAAATGAACTGGCGGACAGACTGGCTGGCTCTGCACAACTTAGTGGAATACTGAGACATGATAAGGCAGACGTGGTTAGTGCCTTGTGGGAGAGCGTGTACAGTTCGGAGGAGCAGATGGATCACCACAGTCTGGTTAGATTGATGCAGCGGGGAGTGACGAGAGGTTCTGGCAGATGCTCGAGGTTTAGAGGAAAGACAAGACGGACGTTTAATCAGAATGCTACTGGCACCATTAGTATCAGAACTCTTCGCTGGCTGCTGAAGATTGGGACGGAGCGCTTATGTGAATGCCCTGAGTGCTGTGATGTCGGTTCTTGAATCAAATCCAATCAAGCTGATGTACTGGAGCAGCCCTAGAACTAAGCGATTAATTTTTGAATCACCTTAGATCTTCTTCTTCTTCTTCTTCTTCTGTTACCTCATCTAAGTGTGTGCGTGTGTGGTGGTGGTGGTGGTGGGGGGGGGGGGTATCTATATTCTTTCTAACGCGCTGCATACGTTCATTTGTTATTATTTTGTATAACAATTGTATATTAGAGTACAGAACGATGACAGAATAATAACTCAAAAGATGTATAGCAATTACAGATTACCCCAAGAAATGTGTTTAAAAAAATGTAAACATAAATTATAAACAGAAGAGATGACCCAAAAAGAATGTGTGAAAACAGAAGTGAACCCACCGACTGTTCGCGGCCAAGTATCGTGCCCTGAGAATAACCCGTGCCCGCATCCGCCCACTGTCTGTGTTTTGGTTCAGGGTCGGGTTCGGTTGTCGTGCATTGGGTCGCTGACTGAATTATTTGCAGTAAGAGCAAAGGCGCGCATTTGAGTTGTAGATTTCCTTTCGCAATGTCCGGAAAAGACCTGTCTCCTAAAGGAAGGGAAATTCCAGCAATTAGGCGTGTGGTGTTGAATGATGTTTCGCAACTACCATCGGACTACAGCACCACTCCAGGGGGAACCTTGTTTTCCACAACACCTGGCGGTAAGTAAGACTCTTACTAAGAGTTTACAGTGGTTTCTAGATCACATATTACAAATGGTTGCAAGAACATAACTGCACACATTCGTGCTACTGATGCATTCACCCTCCCACACCCCTCAATCTCAATATATGTTTTCGTCAGGGTATAACATGCAAGGCAAGTTTGTTAATCATTGCTATAAGTTTACAAAAATGAAATACAAAGTACTACTAATCCAAAATGGCCGACCCGTAGACCATGTGACTGGTTTGTTTTGATTCTAACGTTCTCAACGTTAACCTATTTGTGATGATGATTCAATCGTCACTGGGGGGTATTTGTAATGGGGCAACATGTGGCCACCGATAGCGTCGTTATACAGTATTGATTAATGTTTCATCAGAAAGTTATAGAACAAATATTGTTGCGTTAGGCACATATAATAATAATATTATATACTGCACTCAGAGGGTCAGTTTTTAGAGATGAAATGGAATCATGAGTATTAGTAATTAGGGTGATGATTATGATAGATAAATTTATGCACGGGTGAATAAGCAGGGCCATTTGGGACAGCAAAGAACTAATACTTCTCCCGGTCAGTCATGTAAGATTTGAGGGATTGGCTACCTCGTCCCTTAATTTAAAAAAAATATTTAAAAAAATCATCTAGGCAAACAACCAATTAACTATTGAACAAATTTGCGGGGCAGGGAAAAAGAGGGGGGGGGGGGGGGGGGGGGTGATCACTGACTAATTTCTTTTCACTTGCCCCTTTAGAGGTGGAGCCTTTTTGGAGTTTCAGTGCCAAAAATATGGAGCCTTCAGATGAGGATTCTCTAAGTTTACACAATCACAAAAATTATAACAAATAAAGCATGTAATCTACATCTACACAACCATATATGTGTAGGAAATTGAATGAGCTATCTATGAATCAATCTGAAATCTCAATATTGATTCAAATTAACTATTCTGATTGCATAATTTGTGCAAGCATTTGTTTCGACTTGAAAACAAAATGACACCTACAAACTTTTGGTTGATGAATGAAGCCTGAATAAGTCCAACACTTGTATTTCAGGAAGTAAGGGCTATAGTACATGAAAGTACATGAGGCGGAAGAACTGGCGCGAGACCGAGTTTCTTTCAGGCAGTCTGTGATGAGAGTGACGTTCTGCAGAACGTCACTCTCATCACAGACTGCCTGAAAGAAACTGGTATTTTTGGGGTATTTTTGAAATGCAAGGAGAATCTGAAATGTGTATAAAAAGGTATAATAATTTTGTAACGCTGACTGGAAAGTGTCGACTTCATTCAGTATCTATGCTTTATTTGTAACATCACATTTTTTAATCTTTGACTAGGAACCCGCATCGTTTATGACAGAACCCGACTTATGCAGCTGCGTAACTCTCCTCTAGCCAGGAGTCCTCCAGCTAATATGGCTCAAATCCCCGGCATAACAGACTTTAACACAGAAGCTGAAGCCACGAAAAAGAGAAGTAAAAGAGGCATTGTAAAGGATGAAAATAAAGATGGTAGGACAGTTTGTAATACTTTTCCCATTATTTGCTTGATTGATATAACCAGTCTTAAATGCATTTTAAATGTAAATAATGTTACAAACAATCTGCTGCACAGTATCTGCCAGGACAGATTAATTCTTTAGGGGCATACCACAGAATTTACATAAGTGTAAAGCCATCATCCGTTTTGCTTCAGAATGTCACATAAGGCTCCCAGTTCAGTCCTCAATTTTATTTTGTCCTATGCAGCCTTCTGGATATCATGGATGGAATCTAATCCAGTACATTTGGTCTCCTAAGCAACATTCGCTTGCATATTGCAAGCTTCGCCATTTTTCTTTCTTGAATACACAACCTGTCTCATCCCTGGTCCATGGTAAACCACTTTTCTTTATTCCTGCACTACTCCTTGCTGCTTTTAAAACTGGTCGTTATATTATTCAATGTGTTCTCACTACACTGATCTTCTTCTTCTTCGTGTTCACCAGCTGTTCACTCTGGCGGAAAGTTCTGGTTGTTCGTCCAGTTCTGAACTGCAGCCCTGCTCCAGAACCTGAGTGTTGTGTGTGCATCAGTTTTACAGATCTAATTCACTTGAATGCAGACTGTTGGTTCCTTGCCTCTCAGGCAGATGCACTCCAACTTCAAAGGAAGCTCCCCAATTAGTCTACTCTTACGACATGCTTTTGGGTAGGCAGTGGGTCTATTCTTGTTTTCCCCACAATGGGGCCCCGGAACCCACATGAGGAACTACACTGATCTCCTTCCTCCTCAAGTATCTCAAGTCTTTGTTGAGCTCAAGCTGGAATTCTTCTCTTACTTTGTCATATTGAAGGTTTTGACTGTCTGTTATTTTCAGTACATGTTTGTTAGAAACTGTTTTTAGTTTTAGCTCCAGTTTTCCCATATAAATAATGTTGTTGCTGCCCACATCTGTTTGTCTGCATGCTCGGACATCCATCAAAGAGCTTCTGTATGTTTAATTTATGCAGAGATGATTTATTTGATTTTTAGTCATTCCATCTGGTAAGTGCCAAGTTTATGAATTATTTTATCAGTAAAGATTGTGCCTTTAATTACTAGATCTGACTATAAAGAATTCATCCAGTCTTTCTCTATTTTGATCCATTGTATCTTCTTCTTCTGCATTCGACATCAGTCATGCTAAACATTGAGTCTCGTCTGGGTCACAAATAGGATTGTGCGTTTAAGGTCGCCACCGGTCCCCCATAGCTTCTCTTGCAATATGGCTCACTTGGGCCAGATCCACAGTCTTTGCTGGGAGAGGTTAGGGCAGTACTGCAGTATGTGCCCAGGGGTCTGTCTTTCTGCTCCACAATCACAGGCAGCAGATTCTTTTATGCCTATCCTGTACAGGTGTACTTGAAGACCACAATGTCCTGTCCGATAATTAAAAATTGATGTTTGTTCTTTCCTGTTGAGTTTGTTTATGCTGTCACTCTCTGGTCTGTAATCTCCATTCTGCCTTCTCCACTCCTGCTTGAAAGACTGCTTTAGGGTTGTTTTGGTTTCCTTGTAGCTGTGTGGTGGATGAGGTTGTGGAAGATTACTCCCAGCTTTTGCCAGCTCATCTGCTCTCTCATTTACCACAGTGGGCTGGTATCCACTGCAAGACCAGTTCTGCTTAATTGGAGAGTAAGCCAATGTTGGTCCTTAGATCTGCAATTAGTCTTGTTTTTTTTTCTTGATAATGCTTGGAGAACAGACAATGAGTCACTAAGTATAACAATTTTGTGCCCTCTGCGTTCTTGAGTGATGAGATGTTGGACTGCAGAAAGGAGGGCAGTTGCCTCAGCTCTGATGTTAGTGCAGATGTCACCTGCTGGTAAAGAGAGAGTTTCTGCTCTACTGCTAGGGGGTTTAATGTATATTCCATCAATTTTATCAACTTCTTCTCTTTCCCTAGCTCTCTCGGCATCTATATTTTAGCTTACAGTGTTTGCAGCAAAATCCCCAATTACTACCAGTAGGCGATGCTTTGTGGTTTTACCTGCCTATACCTTGATTGCTCATAGAAATTTTTTTTTCAGATTTAGCGTTGTTGGTTAGTGCATAAGATTAAAAAAACAAGTTGACATGTCTGGTATTAAATTGAGCTCTAATTATTCGGTATGAAATGGGTTCCCATTCCATCATGAATCTTGCAACCCTGGTTATCATCATAATGCACACACCTTCCATAGGTTTTCTGAGAATATGAGGGTTAGCCCACTAACCATTCTTTTATCTGCCGCAAGCTGTCTGACCTCACATAATCTCAGTTATGAGTTAGATTATCTTCACAGCACTCCGGACACATCCATAGGCGCTCAGATTTCCCTCTCAACATATTCATCAGCATCGTGCAGTGAATAGTGCCAGTCCTATGTTGGTTACCAAGACTTTGTGTGCGTCCGTTGTGCTTTTCATGCTTGGCTGTGCTGATCTTTACTCCCAGTTCTTGTATTCTTAGCAGTGATGTGGACACATTGCTTCCAAAATCCTCAGAACGTCCTATCTCTCTAAGGGCAATGACAATGTCTGCGTGATCCATGGGCCTGCCATCTTCACTTATTGCAGCACCCGCCAGTCTGTCAGCTCTTTTATTGCCAACAACACCTGCATATCCTGGGACGAATATGAAGGTAACTGCACACACAGGAGAGTTTTGCAATGACTCAAACCACTGTCTGCTTAACCAGCCTGCCTCGACCTGCTGGATCATGCTCAAAGAGTCACTCATCGCACACACGCAGGAATAGTCCTGTAATTCTAGCCAAATGAAAGCTTGTGTCACCGCCATCACCTCCATCGTCATGCTGCTGGTGGTCATGGAGAGTCACCGCTGGCTTCTAGAACTGTTCTGCTAGATACTTTAGTCAAACTTTTAAAATGCCCTCTACACCAATAAAACCAGCACAGTTAGATAGCTGTAAACAATCTCTTTCCAACCGTACCTCATTTAAGCTTGTATGTCATTTCTGAGCTGAGATATGTAGGTTTTTGTGGAGATGACATGTAAAAAACAGCTGCTAAAACTTGCGTCCCAGAAACAAGAAGTTTTCTCTGCGCACCCAAACTGCGCACTTTCGTTTTGGCTTTGTTTTCATTGGACAAGATGGCAGACAATTTTTCTCAGACACAGCCACATAATAGTGATTGCCTGAAAAATGTCACTGTAAATCGAATTAGCCATACATAAGAAAGAAATTTTATATACAAATGTAAAATTGGACGGAGAATTCAATTATAACTAGCATTACCATATCCAGTAATGTTAAAGCCTAAAGCCAACCCTGAATACTTACCGCTATTTTCAATCAAACTGAATGTAACAGAAAAACAGAGGACGTCCGGCTGTCGTAGACATGCGCTGTTAATCCGGTTCGTTCCTGCTGTTTTCAGCTATTTATAGCTGGTGAAAATCACACCAATCTCAAAATTTCATGAGAGATTAGGACCCATCCCGAAACCAGCTGACATTTCCCAAACAAGTTTCGAACGGTTTCCATGGTAACGGAAATTGCCAAAAGACCGCAAATTGCCGAACACCGTAATCGCTAGTTCTGCCTGAAGAGAGCTGTAAATGCCCATGCACTCTTATGTCCTCGTATAACAGACCCGTCTATGAAGATCACGACATCTGTCTCATCTGACTTATCACTGATAAGCGCGCATACCTCAGCATTGACAGCAGCTGGATTCTGCTTCTGACAACTCCTATCGAATGTCATGACACAGGAGAATGTGAGATTGGGCGCTTTAGACGCTGGTATCCATTCCTCACCTGGATAGACGACTCTAAGGCATGATGTCATCCTCTGCCCTACCCAGCCATGATTTTTCCCTTTTAAGCCTGTTGCCCCTTTTCTTGAAGAGCATGTGGTGCAAAGGGTACTTGAGATCTGAGCTCAGTATCTCAGTAATCTCAGTATATCCCGCTGGTATCTTCTCTATTCTCCTGCTATCTGGGAAGCCCTTTTTGTTGTTGTTATTGTTGTTGCTTGTCCATGGTCCTACCATTCTACAAGCGAATGCTAGTAATTGTTGTTGAGCCAAGAGGTGCGCATGTTTGGCCACTAACTTGTATAACTGTCTTTCATCAGCAGTTCACACTACGTAGTTTGGTAATTTGTTGGAATGGCTTCTTGTTCTGTGAGTTTCTGTAATGCACTTTTTGTGTGTGAAAGGGTGGGTTAGCTGGCCCTACCCAGCCCTCTTTCTTTCTCTTCTGAACTTTGGACCGGCAATTGGCGGAGATTCAGTATATAATGCACAAACATAAATATTTTCAATGAAATATACAGAGCAAATAGATTACATTGTTTCACTGTATATTTCACCATGGAAGTCTTAGATACCTTGCATAATCTTTGAGTTTGCCTAATATGGGACTGCTTATTCAAATTCCAACCACTTTAGTGAACTGTTAAAAACCTCTAAACCACATGACCCGAAAATACACCAAGGGGTTTACTTTCATGGTACCCTTGACATGTAATGGTTTGCTTACACCAAGTGTTGTCACTGTCATAGTACCCTTAAGACCTATTATGGTTATCTTACACTGAGTATTGTCCCCATCATGGTATCTTTGTAGCCTGTGAATGTTTGCTTACATTGAGTGCTGTTCACATGATTGAATCTCTCTAATCTATGGTGGTTCTAGTTTTTCCCATCTTGGTATCTCTGTAACCTATAATTATTTCTTTTTTTTGCATTCACTGGCTCTGTACTCTGGCGGAAAGCTCTGGCTGTTCATCCACTTCAGGACTTCAGTCTTATTCTAAAACTTGAGTTTTGCGTGCAAATCCACTATACAGATCTAACTCATTTATATGCAGACTGTTGGTGCCTTGCCTCTCAGACAGATGCCTTCCGACTTCGAAGAAAAACCCACATTTGTCAATTTTTTCAACATGCGTGTTAGGGAGGTAGTTGGTCTGTTCCCTCCCTTTCTCCCTCACAGTGGGGCCCTAGAACCCAGAAAGTACCTCTATAATCTATAATGTTGGCTTGTATTGAATGTTATTTCCATCATGGTATGTATAAAACCTATAAGGGCTAGCTTACAGTGTTGTTCACATTATGGTACCTGTATAACTTGTAATGGCTAGCTTGCACTGACTGTTCCTTTCATAGTACTTCCGAGACCTGTGATGGTTATCTTTCACAGTTGTTCCCACTGTAGTATTCCTTTGACCTTTGATTGGGCTTCATTTGATTTTGTTAGTTATAAGTTTGTTTTTTTACCTTCAGAATCCAAAATTGGTCATGATGAGCACCCTCAGTTTGAGATGGACATCTGAAAGCAACTGCCAGCAACAGATCTTCATGTCTTTCGGTCTCACTCTTGCCCGCCCACAATGAATCTGAAATCTGCAGATTTCACACATCCTACCAATCTGGTGCACATGGACACCATGTGTCAAATGGTCGGAGGTTTATTGACCGCCTTTGCAAGTGATGTTATCCAGGAGACGAAGAGTCTTGTCCATTTTGGTTTGCTACATAGTTATTGTAATCAATTGTAACAACATGCTGCTGGTGACTGTTCTGTAACAAAGGGTTCTGTTTGAAATTTGTTAGTAACTGTTGTTACTGTTAACGTAGTTAATTCTAGTGACTGAAACTCTGTTAACTTGTGTGGTCAATCTCTTTCATGAAATTTAAATGGAAGCACAATTTCTGATGATTATATTGCTTTACTATATATTCAGTAAAAAAAAAAAATTAATCAAAATGTAAATTAATGGGGTGGTTTCCACTTCAAATAATATAATTGTAATAAATATTGTAAACAATATTATACATTTAGTAATGTAAACACCATTATTACAATGTATGTGATAGTATAAAAGATGTTTCATGATGTAAGAGACATTATTACACTTCGTAATTTAAGAGATAGTATTATATTTAAAACTTTTAAGGAGAGTGCATTTCATAATTTTAAAAGGCAATATTACTATTCAAAATGTAAGGGGCATAAGTGCATTTCATAATGTACGAAACAATATTACATTTTTAATAGTAATAGACAGTATTACATTTTATACTAAAAACTTGATAAAGCAGAGATAATTTTAATGTTGAAAGGGAAAGTAAAGTAACATCTAAAATATATAAGCTCACTCTTGTTACTGTATACTGTACAGTCACACACACAAATGTATGTTTTTCTTCCCAAGGTTTTCTGTAGTTAGAAGTATAATTCTTTAAGTCTCAGTAAATTAAAATATGAGAAATACATGACATAAGAATAAAACTAACACTAGGTCAGAATGAAATGATGACTCATAACTCAAAAAAAAAAATTCAGAAAGGTGTAGAGTAACTGAGCATAAGGAGAACTGCCTGGTAATATATTTCTTTACAAAAATGTAAGAGGACCACAAAATTAGTGTAAACTATTACACAGAAATGTTTGTCTCTATCCATATTCTTGTGACTTTGGCCCTGAGTAGCAAGGCTTATCTTTATCTATAACCAAATATCTTATCAGCTGTTCTCATTTGACAGGCCAGAAAGTAAGATGTACTTTTATCTATGACTGTTCTTGTTATGAATCATCGGATTTAAAAATTTCCCTTTTTTAAGCCTCTTGACCTGTTGGTACTTAGGCCCGAATTATTTTGAGCATGGAGGAAAAAATGTTCTTTAATAGTAAAATGGTAGTTCGGGTGTCAGACTGTTTTCCTTGGTCAGTTTCTCTTTAACCCTATGTCTAGAGTTCATGTGATGGAAATCGTAGGTTTTCTCATGAAGCACAGCCCCTTGGCCTTTGCTTCAGGTTTCAGATGTTGCCTCCTCTGTTAATCTTCATGACAGTGTGCACAGCAGTAAAATGTTTTACTTTTATATAACCAGTGTTGAAATTGCAATTTGTAAAAGTTACAGGTGCTACATTCTATTACATTGCATATATTCAGGAGGATAACACATGCTGTTACATTACAACTTACACATATGTTGAGGATGAAACTTACAGATAACACATACTGTTACATTACAACTTACACATATGTTGAGGATGAAACTTACAGATAACACATACTGTTACATTACAACTTACACATATATTCATGATGAAACTTAAGATAACACATGCTGTTACATTACAACTTACACATATATTCAGGATAAAACTTACAGATAACACATGTTGTTACATTGCAACTTACACATTTATTCAGAAAGAAACTTAGACAGGTAACACATGTTGTTACATTGCAACTTACACATTATTCAGGAAGAAACTTACACAGGTAATACATAATGTTGTTACATTGCAACTTACACATTATTCAGGAAGAAACTTACACATGTAATACATAATGTTGTTACATTGCAACTTACACATATATTCAGGATGAAACTTGCAGGTGTCACATACTATTACATGCCATTTATTAGCAACTTTTACATATATTTAGAATACACATTCTGTTTTTGAGATATTTCTCTGTTTACTCATAGACACAGACAGGAAATATATTTATGGAAAAAAATCTTCATTTGCCTTTTCGTGTCTCCTGAAATAGTATTGTATTACCGAGGACCCATGACCGTTTAGATAATGGATGTTTAGTGGCCAGGTCACCTTCTGCAGCATGTTATTGTGGGCAGTGCATTCATCAGCAGAAAATAATTGATTAAATGAAAATTAAATCTCTGAAGAATTCTTCACTTATTCATGTACACATTTGATTTTTAAAAATCTTTTTTTTTGTGGTGTATGGGAAATGAAATGTTTATACCCTTAACTTTAAGGGAGGGTTGGGTGCAGGCATTAAACCGTTTCAAGGCATTAAAACATTTTAATAGCATCATCTCATAACGCATATTTTTGCTATAGTAAAGTTTTGGTACATATTTTCATTGGCTTTATTTTGTTTAATTTTCTAATCCAGCCACTACTAGTATTGACATATTCTTAATACCCAGTTTTAGGGTGTTTTTATTTGAAATATTACAAAACATGATATTGATTGTGTTAGTTATCCTGTCAAAAACCATGTTGTTGATAGCAATACATATCTCTTCATCATTTACAGTATCCACTACTTCTGAATGCTGCAAACATTTTCCAATCAGTTGCTCTATTCTGATGTAGCAGGCATGTTCAGAACTACTTGCTCTATTGTGATGTTGCAGGCATGTTCAGAACTACTTGCTCTCATCTGATGTAGCAGGCATGTTCAGAACTACTTGCTCTATTGTGATGTTGCAGGCATGTTCAGAACTACTTGCTCTCATCTGATTTTACCGGCATGTTCAGAACTACTTGCTCTCATCTGATTTTGCAGGCATGTTCAGAACTACTTGCTCTCATCTGATTTTGCCAGGATGTTCAGAACTACTTGCTCTATTCTAGTGTTGCAGGCATGTTCAGAACTACTTGCTCTATTCTAGTGTTGCAGGCATGTTCAGAACTACTTGCTCTCATCTGATTTTGCCAGGATGTTCAGAACTACTTGCTCTATTCTAGTGTTGCAGGCATGTTCAGAACTACTTGCTCTATTCTGATGTTGCAGGCATGTTCCGAACTACTTGCTCTATTCTAGTGTTGCAGATATGTTCTTAATTACTTGCTCTACTCTAATACTAATGCGTGTTCCTAAGCAGCTGCTCTGTTGCTCTTCTTCTCTCAAAAGGGGTGGTTGACACTTTGTGTTGTGATTTTCAGCTCAGTAGCAATATCTGCACATTTTTGGCCCAACACATCTGGTTTCAGTTAACAATTAACTTTTAAATTTTCTTTACACAAGTGTATAAATGGTCACACTATAGTTACTTGCCTGATCTCTAATACTGTTTCACGAAGGTCTAACTATGACTTGGTGCATTTTAAATATATAAATTTTCCAAGGTATGCAATCTCTGATTTATGGAAGATCAACAACATTAAAGACACTATACACCTTCACAGCATGACAATAACCAGTGGCAGCTGGCGTGTACTGAATTGCAAGTTATTCCTCCCCACGACGCATGATGGCAGGGGTGGTTTACCATGATGACGTTGATAAAATTGTTATGGGGCCATTGTAGCACAGCAGCTAGTACGCTGGCCTGCCAGTCTTGTGGACATGGGTTTAAAGGTCCTGTATAGGTTCTGCAGCCTATTTGGAAAGAGTAGACATGAACCCTTTGCCTCCCTAACAAGCATATTGTGAAAGGCAGCTAATAGAGGTTTGCTGAAATTGAATGTTGGGCTGAAAGGTGCCTATATCACAGCCCAGCTGACACAACACGCCAACCACCCTTTTTTAATGGCAAAAGTAGAAAAACGAAATTTACTTATAAAGGTTTTTAAAAAATTGACCTGGGCTCATGGATCGACTTAGCTTAAAATAAGTACCAGATAAAAATGTCAGGGAAGGTAAAGGTAGCCGGTGTGATGGCAACGACACCAAGTGCTGATTGGTCTATCAAATGTGTGGATAACAACGCCTTGTGCCTGAAGGAAAAGAGTACTTACATCAGCTGTAGCAAATTTGTTGTAGCTTTTTTCTCCCAACTTAAAATGTAGTTATGTATTCATTTAGCATGCATCAAGCTACAGGGAGACATGTCTCCACACGTCAGATTATTTTTACATATTTAAAAACAGAAATTATGTCTAATTTCTATTGGGGGGGGGGGGGGGGGTGTGTTTAAAGGGCTTTTGGACATTTATATTTTTATTTAAGATGTATTATTGTTTTAAAATGGCTGTGGAAAGCTTAGATTTTGCTGAAATAATTTATTTATTTTACAATGCTGCTGAAAATTGAATGTTTGGATGTTTTAGTTACACCTGTCAGAATAATATAGTTGTGTTCATTTTAACAATTGTACTATCCTAATGCCTGTTTTTACCCTTACTTTTTCAGTGACACTTACCTTATATAATTTCAGAAACTCTTACTGTGCATTTCATTTTGGAAATCTACTAGGGCTCGCCTGCGGATTGAAAGGTCATGGGTTCGCTCCCTGGCGGAGCCGTGCTTATTTCAAAAATGACTTTGGCTCCCAGGTCAACCCAGCCTAAAGTGGGTGCTAGGTACAGCCTGGGGAAGTAAAGGCAGCCAGCGTGATGCTGACCACATCAACCATCTTATGCCGATAAGTCTATAAAAATGTGTCTAGCCCTATACGTCTTATACGCCTACAGGCATGGGAAAGGGACCTTTACTCTTTTTTTTTTTGGTACTCATACCACCTTCTTAAAAGACATGGGGCACCAGTATATTATTTAGAACTCTTTCTGTCCCGACCAACGCACTGTGTGTTTATTGATATTCCTTTCAGGATATACTATTCATAACTGTCTTCCAGTTCTTACAGGGCACCTACTTTATCCACACATTATTGCTATATATGAGAAGTGGCTGGCCGAGCGGTTAAAAATGCTGGGCTCTCATTCAGTGACCCAGGTTTGAATCCTTGGTGAGATTATGAATTTTTCTCTGCTGGAGGCAAAAATAAAATTTAAACCTGCACAGACCGTGGTGATGGCCTTTACCTTTTGGCCATTAATAATCAGGCACGAGGAACCCCCCCCCCCCCCCCTCCCCCCTCCGTCGTCCTAAAAAGTGGTAAATGCAGGCAGTAGATATTAAAAAAAATTAATGTAATTCCTAGCCCATTATGTTATTGTTAACATCTGTAGTCCCATTTTGTTTGTATTACTTTGTAATAACTTTGTAGTCCCAGCTTTTATATAACTTTATAGTAGTAACTAAGCATTTAAAAAAATGTAAGGTACCAACTGGGAGGCAAAGCATTACATAAATATAAAATACATTACTGTTGTTTGGAGAGTTAATGAAATGAACTTTCATAATAAAGCTTGGTGAGGACACAGGTTTTACAATTTATTTTCATCAAATAGAAAAAGGGGAGTCACTGTGGCGGGGAGACTAGACGCTCGCCGCGGATGGGAAGCTTGTGGGTTTGCTCCCTGGCGGAGCTGAAATTTTTTCAAGAACGATCTTAGCTCCCAGGTCGACCTAACATAGAAGAGAATAGAGAAGGAAGAGTAACAGTGTTATTCATCAGCTGTTTAAATGACTAATTACTGGCATGAGAGCCAGCAGACTACAGTGGCTAGGGTATAGAGAGGGAATGGCAAATAAGAGAGAGATACAATCTGTATACACAGAGTTAAACAAGAGTAGCCCATCAGGAAGACAGTGGAGAGAGAATATGCAGGCAGACATAAAGACATTTGGAGTCACTCACTGGAAAGAGAAGGCTTGTCACAGATTTGAATGGAAGCACAGAAATGAACGGTGACATCTGCAGCAGTGAGCCTCAAAGGCTTGCAGTGCTGAAGAAGAACAGCAACAAAAGAATTTATCACTTTAAAAAAAATTATTCTTCGTCTTCGCATTCACCAGCTGTAAACTCCAGCGGAAAGTTCTGGTTGTTCACCCATTTCTGGACTGCAGTGCTGTTCCAGAACCTGAGTGTTGCGTGTGCATCCGTTTTAGAGATCTGACTCATTTGTATGCAGACTGCTGGTTCCTTACCTCTCAGACAAATGCAATCCCACTTCGGAGGAAGCTCCCAATTAGTTGACTCTTCCGACATGCTTTTGGGTAGGCAGTGGGTCTATTCTTGTTTCCCTCCACAATAAGGCCCTGGAGCCAACACAGGGATTTTAAAATTCAGATCATTGGTTGTGTATTATATTTACAGTCCCGCTGCCTGCATGGTGTCCACTGCAAGAACCCCGTCATTTCTGCTTTAGCTCTGTATCCTCTAGCCTTGCTTGGCAGCACACTTATGATATGGTGATTGTGATAACAGCTTTTGTAATTCACTGTGATTGTAATGCTGTCATGGTATCATGGCTTTCATTTCATTGATTCAGTGTTTTTAAAGAAAATCACAAAAATTTTTATTCTTGCTTTTATATATTTTATGTGAAGTGTATTACATATTTACGTTTTGATAGCTGAATTGTCAGGTGGAAGTATTTTCATATACATGTATAATGCTGTGTCATTACCACATTTTTTGGTATTGATTTCTTATAATGTGTTAACAGTGTAGAACAGTTTCATATGCTAATGAGACAGCAACAGCCTTTGGCCTCATCCACTTCCCGTGTGGGTTCTGTGGTCTCATTTTGGGGTAAAAATAGACCCCCCATCACACCAGCATATCATAACAGGTGACCAATTAGACCCTACATTACACTGAAAATGCAGTCCAACATTACACTGAAAATGCAGTCCAACATTACACTGAAAATGCAGTCCAACATTACACTGAAAAAGCAGTCCAACATTACACTGAAAAAGCCATCCAACATAACATCCAAAAAGCAGTCCAACATTACACTGAAAAAGCAGTCCAACATAACACTCAAAAAGCAGTCCAACATAACACTCAAAAAGCAGTCCAACATTACACTGAAAAAGCAGTCCAACATTACACTGAAAAAGCAGTCCATAAGGATGTCAGTTGTGCCATTAAGGTCACCAGAAGGAGGTTACATTTTGCATGACAAAAAATAATGAGGGAAAATCTGTCATGTTTGGAGCTTGTACGTCTGGTTCTTTTATAAAATGAAGCTGGAGACGTAGAACTAGACAATCAGCATTACCCCATTATAGTTTGTATTTCTTAAATGGTGTCTTCTACAACACATTTACAAAATTTTTAATTCTGCACCTGTTCCTTCCATTTCCTTTGCCAATAACATGCTGTTTTCTTAGTTTTGAGCGCTTTACATCTTTTGTCTAGTGAAGTGTGCCAGCTGGTCTAGATGAGACAACATTGAGCATTATCCCTCCATAGTTTGTTTTTCTCCATTAATATCTTCTGTACCATTTCCACTGTCTACTGTCATCACTAATATCCATAAATATGGTCATCATCATCATGTTACAGATTCTTTGCAGTATGTCGCTCTCATCATGGTCTGCCTGAAAGAAACTTGGTCTCTTGCCAGCTGTTCCGTCACTTATATCCTGTGCGTATCTTCATAATTGTCTACCCCTGGTACCTTACCTTCTGCTATTATTTTTCCAAAAAATGTTAGTATTTCTGCTCTTCTTGTCCATGGTATTACGATAATCTTTCTGTATCATTTCGGTTCAAAAACCCCTATTATCTTTCTTAGGGACTAGAAGATAGTCTATGACTCACATCCATATGTTGCTACAGGGAAGGTGCGTACTCTCAAAATGTTAATTTTGATTTCAGATAAATAATACGGAGGGGGAAAAACACATTTTCTTTGTTTAGAGCACTGTATACTTTTTTGTATAGTGAAGCTTGTTAGCTGAGCTAGCATTACCACAGCCTTTCCTTGCTTCAACTCCTTGTATCATGAAAGTTCTACTTTAAAGTAGCCAATGATTGGGTCTAAAGAGGTTAAAATAATAACACTATGGGCAAAAAGAGTTAAACTAACCCTGAATAATGAGCTAATGTAATTAAATAAAAAGAATTTATGTAAGTTTATAAATATTTGTAAGAATAAAAAATTGTTTTAAATCTGAAAATAGGAAGGAGAGAAATCAGAAAATATGAACTAATTGAAACATTACCTGGATTTCATTCCACTAGATCTTAAGATAAATTGATTTGTTGTCTAATACCGTGACCTCATCACACATAACTCTAAAGTGGGGGGGGGGGGGGGGGGGGGGGGGGGGGGGGGGTGGGGGGGGGGGGGGGGGGGGGTCAAATTATGACAACAAAAAATATAGTAATTTTGTTCCCAAGAAAGCCCTTGTAACTGCTGGGGGTTTTTTGGGAAGTAAAAATTGCACATTCTTGAAGAATTTTTTTTTTTTTTTTACCTGAATGCTGCACAGCACAGGTCCAAACACAATCATTGACCTTAAGTAGGCATCTCAGAAACATGCCACTGTAGAAATGCAGGATCAAAGGCATTTATGGGATAAAGTCAGTGCTGTAATTGAGGCTTCCTCATAAGAGATCCTGTTCTTCCATTCAGAATTTAGTAAACATTCAGATATTACAAAAGTAGTGCATCATCTTTTTGAACTTTTCTTCATTTTTCTATTATACAGTATTTTTTTTTTTTTTTTTTTTTCAGGTATATTTAAATACTTAGGTTTATGTCTGGTACATATTTGACAGTGTTAAAGGCAATATTTGTCTTGTGGCAATCAAGTGTCTCAGTATTGTTTGTTTTTGTTACAGTAAACATCTGCTGATGATTGTATGTGTACATTCTTGTGATGCATACTTTTAATTTTGCTTGTCATGTATGTTCAGGCAATATTAGTATGCCCTGATGTTTGGCTTAACAGAGAGAGATTTTTTTATTTAGGAAACCATTGTGTAAGGTAGGGACCTGTCACAGGAAATGGAAACTAATGTTTATAAGAGTTTATTTAGGTGTATAGTTTATATGTTTTGGCTTTTCTTTTTTTTTAAACACTTTGCTGACCAGTAAGCCACAGCATTATTGTCTCTTGTAGCCATGGATGTTTTGTTTCTTCTTCTTCTTCTCTTCCACCTTGTACCTCGGTGAAGTATTGGGGGAAGATGTAACATTCATTGATGAGCTCTGTCAAGAGCACTATTAAGACTGATGTTTATTTCTGGAAGGTTGTTCTTAATGCCATCATTCCATATTTTCCGAGGTCTTCCACTCGCCCTATACCTGTTGTAATGTTTTAGTGTGGCTCGCTGAGGCAGATAGTACCAGGGCGTTCTTGTTAGGTGTCCAAACCACTTGATGAATTGTAAGACTGGCGTTATTCCTAGCTTTTGTCTAATTTTGTGATTTCATTTTCTGTCTTTCCTTGTAACTCCTGCAGCTCTTCTAAGGCATTTCCTCTCTATTGTCACAATCTTTTGTGATGTTTGGATATTTTGCAAATGTTAATAAAGTGATGCTATTTGTTTCGGTATTTTTCTTTTATGGAAAACAATAAAATCCTAACCTGCACAGTCCTTAGTGACAGCAGCACCAACCATGCAGCCCTAGATCCTGAGGCTAAAATAAAACTGCCTGCACTGTAAAAAAGTGATGAATACAGGTAGTCATAGTAGTTTTTAGCAGTCCTTCATTTAGAAATTTCCATATGGCACAGTCACTGGCTTGCTGATTCTGATAAATATATTTGATACAGCCTGGTCACGTGACCATGGTCAGGTGACCGTGTTCACCTGACCATGGTCACCATCTGGAATTTAGATTTGCAGAGACTTTAAAAACTATTCTGTTTTTCAAAATATTTGTGGATCTATTTAATTTGTAAAAAAAAGTATGTAAGTAAAGGTCCCGTTTCATTAGGCATATAGGGCTAGACCTATATTTTTATAGACCAATGAGCACAATATCGGTGATGTGGTCAGCATCACGTTGGCCGCCTTTACTTCCTGGGACTGTACCTGGTACCCATTCAAGGCTGGGTTGACCTAGGAGTCAAGGTCATTTTTTTAAAAAGTCTGGGAACAAACCCACGACCTTCTAATCCACACATGAGCATCTAGCTGCTTCACCACCTATTTAATTTGTGTGCAGTGAAATCTTGGGATTAAATAAGTTGATGAATAATATTGGTCGAAATACTGTTTTCTTCTGGGGTGGGGAAAGAGGGGGGGATGTGGGGAGCATGTTGGATAAAAACCAGCCTAGTGAAGAAAGTCCTCTTGGCTTTAAGCAACCCCCCTGGATCACTGTACACTAACCTAAAAACCTACATTTGTGAATCAAATGATACAATTCAGAAACCAGATTCACAACTTTCAGAGCATGAAAAAAATGGCTTTACCGTAGAAAGTCGGTCTCATTTGGGGTATAAGTGTTATTTTTGTAATGGGAAAAGATAAATAAAAACACTTAAAACAATCAGGGTAATGTGTATTTAGTAAAATTATTGGCATGGCTGCCTTTCTGCAGATGTAGTCTAACAAAACTATCGGCATTGCTGCCTTTCTGTAGATGTAGTCTAACGAAACTATCGGCATGGCTGCCTTGTTATAGATGTAGTCTAACAAAACTATTGGCATGGCTGCCTTGCTATAGATGTAGTCTAACAAAACTATTGGCATGGTTGCCTTGCTATAGATGTATTCTAACAAAACTATTGGCATGGCTGCCTTGTTATAGATGTAGTCTAACAAATCTGATGATCATCATTTGCAAAGGCAAATAAAATAAACAAAAACAGAAAGGACCCTATCCGTGTCAGTAGCGCAACAGACATATAATGGTAGACTCGTATTTATTTCTTCAGTGGATCAATCAGCACTCAGTCAGTGCTGTGGTCAGTCTCATGCAGGCTGCCTTAACTTCTGAAGATTTTACCTGATATCTATTTTATGCTGGGTCAGTCTGGGAATCAAAGTCCTGAATGTTCGTCCATCTGGTCTTTCTGCCAGGGCCTGAGTTTGACATATACATCCATTTTTCTAGCTTATTTGTGTGCAGTTGTTTGTTCCTTACCGCTTGGGCAGATGCACTCTGACTTAAAAGGTAGTTGCAAATTAGTCGATCCTACGACATGCTTGTTTGCAAGGCGGTGGGTCTATTCTTGTTATATCTAGAACCCACACAGGAAAACTCATTTTTGAAAAATATCCTTGCCCTTTGGGCTGGAGGTGAATGTCTAGAGCTACATCAGTGCAGCTGCCATCAGCAAGGGTACATGCCAGCAAGTAGGTGGTCAGCAAAATGTTGAAGCATAATGGTTTTGGGAGGGGGGGGGGGGGGGGGGGGGGAGTGTTTAGTAGGTTGTTAATAATTTAGTGTGAGTATGTGCATATTTTTATCTTTTAAAATATATCTTGGAGTGTGTGATTTATGTTTTAAAATGTATGAATTCAGATGTATTCATTTATACTGTAATGAACAGTTTATTTTGTTGAATGTATTTTAACCAATGTGCCATTGTCTGTCTGTTTTTGTTTTCCATGTTCTAGTAAAACCAATGCCTTTGAAAAGATCATTGTTTTCCATTTCTGTCACTGTGGCTTAAGTCAAATGTGATGCTGAAAAGTCAAAATATGGATGCCAGGAAATTGTGTGCATTACTTGCTTATGGCTGTGCATAGCTAAATAATCAAGATAAAGAACGATTGAATGTTAATGTATCTTTAAAAAAAAAGTAAATATCTAAGCTATTTTGCTTGAGGTTTCTTTGATGGAACTCCTGCGACATACTGGTTAGCCCACCTGTCTGCCAAATGCAGTGGTGTGGGTTCAGGGGGCCCATTGTGGGGGAAAACAAAAATAGATCCACTGCCTCCCCAAAAAGCATTGCATAAGAGTCAATTAATTGGGCGTTTCCTTTGAAGGAGTGCATCTGTCTGAGAGGCAAGGAACTGACAGTCTGCATACAAATAAGTCAGATGTGAAAAAAAAGAGATGTGTACACAGCTCTCAGTGCTGGAACAGGTCTAAAGAGTTTACAACCGGTGAATGAGGAAGCAAAAAATGTCATCCGGGTTCAGTCCTCAGCAGAATTCTGTGTATGTGTATCATGGCAAGTATTTGCTTATGACAATAGTTAGCTGTTACATTTACCTG